ACCTAAAATATTACTTTTGTTCTATTTTAGTACCTAAAATTTATTTATTTTTTCAAAATTACACCTGGCATTTAGTTTAGGCTTCATTTTGGTACTCTATAAAAATGTGATGTTGGTCTGTCACCAAAAGATAGTGTCACGTTATCATTGAAATAAAATTAAAAAAATATAACGTCAATAATTCTGTTAATTTTTTAATGGCGGTGTATCAAATTGAAATTGAAATTAAATATTATGTATGGTTTTGAAAAAAGTAAATATTAAATAGAACAAAAGTAATAGTTTATGTACTAAACCTATAGTTTACCTATGTTATTATCAACAAATAAGCCACAATAATCTTACTTATTTTGTGTTGTGTAAGCAACTATATATATATATATATATATGTGTGTGTGAGAGAGAGAGAGAGAGTTGCGAGTAAAAGAGAAGAGATTGGCAGTTGGCCGAATAATCTCTGTTTTGAATTATTGAATGAATTTGCAAAATGTATAAAAGAACAAAAAAAAAATCTTAAAGTGGTAGGAATAGTTGGCACTGCCATCGCATCCTAAATATATATAGAAAGTTCAGTCCGTGGCAGTTGCTACGTGATAAAGACTACAGTTATTGATATCTGTAATAATTTATTTTATTAATATTCGATCAAATTCGAATATTTTATAACACAACTTCAAATAATAATTATTGATAATAACATTGCTGTTAGGACGTTATAGACGTTCATCTCTTTTAATTTAGATATAGAGTCGTCGTTTGTGATTTATGGTAGAGTTACAGACAATCAAAGGTGTCTAGTTAATAACAGTTAAGAAAATTTAAAAAAGAAGAAAAAGAAAAGCATTAATATGGTATGAGATTTATATATAGACTTTTAGCGTTGGGATTAAACCTAAGGTAACTATGACTATTCGTAGACTTGCAAGATGAAATAAATCTAACTGTCATGTAATATATTTGTTCTAACAGATCATGCGAGTCTATCAAAAATCACATTAAGAGATTGTTTATTACTCGGGATGTAATATTCCAGAGACTTTAAAAAACTTTAAAGGATATAAATATTCCGAAAGCTTCACCTTTCAATGGACAAATAAGTAAAAAAAAAAAACTGTTAGAAGAGGATGTATAACGATAATGGTTAGCTTAGGAAGTCCATTATTTTTCAAATTAGTATATGTTTTAGATATTTCTTTTGTATTTCTAACCGATACTATGTTTCCACCTTCCTGGAATTTTATAAGTTCGTTTCCTATTAAAATTTTAAAAATTCGTCTCCCTAAATATGATACTACACTCGTTCCTGCTTCTAAAACCAGATTCAAGTTTTTAGGAGTGGTTAGTGTTGAACCAGTCCAATTCTAGACTGAAAAATTATCTGATATCAATCTGGCATGTGCTTTTACAACACATTAGAGGAAAGAAAAGAGCTCACCAAATGGTAGGTACGAGGTTGTTTTACAAACGCAACCATAACAAATTAAACATCTTATTACACTAATTATCTTCTTGGTCTTTGGTCTTCTTGTCGATGTCATTCATAGTCAGCATCGACGTCATAAATGGAAATAAATAATTAATAAAAGGGGAAATCCAAATCATATAATTTGGGACATCAACTTTTCACCACAATTAGGTAAAATCCTTGTTGATGAATCATGAGTTCATCATATCACAACATTAGTAGTGCCATTTATGTAATTAACCAATGAAATGAGAACCAACTTTAATCATGCCGTATCGATAAATGTGTCATCTTCGAACCAATATTTATATGTATCGATACTCGTATTAGTATGATTCGATGTACCGTTTCACTATTAGTCCGATTTCGTATTGTCTAAACTTTTATAATCGTTATTGAATCGGATGATGAAATCACTTCCGATACACTAATTCATTATTCCTTCGTCTAAGCTTAAAACAAAAAACATGATATCAAATCCGAAACCCGACATAGAAACATCAACATGACAACAACCTTTCCCAACCAGTTGGCTTCACATAGCATCTCCGTCGGCAAAATGCCTCGATAGCGAACATATTGAGCAAGTCTGATCAGTGCTTTGAATCTTCTTCCTCGCAAAACTTGGAGTATTCTTCCGAGTCCATCAAGTTTTTCAAATCCCCGGAATCATTCATCTCAACCTTAATAATCCATCCATTCTCATATGGACTTGAGTTAACCTAAATCATGATGAACAAAGATTGCTGACACAAGCAAAAGTGAATGTTCAATGAAAAATAGACAATAAAACATCCAAATTTTCCTTCATGACTATAGCTCATGCCGGGAAGAGACACACGAGCACGCATGCACACATGCAGAAGGCACGGTTATGCAATTAGTACAATCGAATCCAGAAACCATACAAAATTTGGAAAGGTAAGAGTGCTAACCAGAGCAGGAGAGTTGCTGAGCTCTTCATTAACTTCAATCACTTTTCCCGAAACAGGAGAATTAACATCACTAGTAGCCTTGACGCTTTCAACCGCTCCAAAACTGTCACCCTGCTTTACGGCAGCTCCAACTTCAGGTAATTCGACATACACAACATCACCTAAATGATCTTGAGCATGATCGGTTATACCAATCGTGGCTGCATTACCACTGACCTTCACCCACTCGTGAGAATCGGCATATTTCAGATCCTTTAAAACTGCAGGAATCGAAGAGAGGTGTTTAAAACACCCAACAAGCTATAACACAGGATATAATAGATAAAGAAGCCGATTATGTGATCAAAGGAATCGCATATCCTTTTCATACACATGCATCACAGGTAGTACACCTAAAATAAATATCACAATAACATTTCATCATGTATCATGGAGGTAATTTGCTCTAAGGTGCTGCTTCGACGAACAATGAACTTCCACAAAGAGCAAAGTTTGAAGTTATATCATAGTTAACACAGTCTAATACTGCTCAGACATCTTAATTCCAAATAATAGAGCTAAACTACACAAATCCATCATAATTAAAGCACTTTTTTAATCTATATATACCGATACTAAAAAAAATTCAGGGTCATTTCAGTTTCTGCAATTTTCTACAGCACTCTTTTAATCTACACACACACACACACAGAGGCAAATATCCGAGCTTCTGCTTGACTAGGATTAGCAAAATATTGCACCTAATAGCAATGACAATGCATAACATTATGAATCATAATCAATATAAGGGGTTAATAAACAATTTATAGCATATAATGAATAGTATCGGTTGGTTTCTTGACAATTTCCTTTTCTGTTTTTCCAAATCCAAATAAGGGAACAATCAGACGAAACTCAAAAGTCAATATTTTCATGAGCAACTCAACCATTATTGCTTCAAACACCTGCACCAATACTCGGAAGTTGCCCAGGTGCAACTGTCCCGAACCTCAACTCAGGGTCTCAATCAGGGACCGGCAGGAGTTTATGCCAATGGATGCAAAATTTCAGGACTGCAAAATTAGATAGTCAAAAGTACCTAAACTATACGGGGATTTGAAATTTATAGGGGATGCAACCGTACCCCAAACACCCCCTCAGTCCTTCCTGGTCTCAACCGCACCGATTGAATCACCTATTATCATCACTTTTAATGCTATAATGTCTAGTATTAATCATGTTTCTAGCTATACAAAAGCTGTATACATAAAAAGTGAAAGGCTTTAGGCTCCTTTGATGGCTTTGAATTGATCATAAACGAAATGACATAATTACGGACATTTGGAACTTTTATATCTACAAACAAAATAGAATCCCAGAACTCTAAAGCTACACATTAACATTCAGCATTACACAAAATAAAAAACCCATTAACATAAATCAAAATCTTATCTTTTTTTCTTCTTCTAAAAGGTAAGATCTTGGATAAAAAAACAAAAACGATATCCCGAATGAAATCAACACCCAAAACCATGGAAATGAAAAGTTATAGAAAGGATAATGAATTACCAGTGGAAAACCCTCTATGGAAGACGGAGATCCGAAGGTAAGAAGCCGCCCTAGAAGCCCACAACATTGTTGAAGCCATTTCTAATGTAAATCTCGACAACCGACGAAGTGCAGTGACTGCCAGATTCTTGTTTTTGTTTATATATAGTATATTGTTAGGGGTTGGTCGAATGTGACTGGGTGAGCGTACCTTTTATATTTTATGTGCCAAAAAAAATTGAATTGGTAAAACAAGTGCTTAGATGATTAAATAATACTTTTTATTTTAATATTTTTTAATAAAAAATATTAGATAAAGACTGAATATGTTGCTTAAAAATAAGCAAAAGGAGCATAAATTGTTGGTAGGTGAATCTGTGTCCGCAAACCCACCTGTTAGTGACGGCAAAATGCCGTAGTGAAGGTTGGTGAGAATGAGATTGAGCTCCAGTTTAATTAGGGTTTTATGTTTTTATTATTAACAAATATTTTTTAACGATAAAAATTGACGATTTAATGGTTATCTATTGTTGATCATTAACAATAATTAAATCATAAACAATAGCCATAGAAATTAATAATAATTTTTTAATGATTAATGTTTATGATTTAATTGATGATTTATGGTTATCTATTGTTAATGGTTAATTTTTAAAAATGACATAGTGAAGGTTGGTGAGAATGAGATTGGGCAATTTAGACGGTATTATTATGGCTGAAGAACTGAAAAATTAACCATTAAAAAATTAAGTAACCTTTTTTAAAATTGGATCAATTAAATCATCAATTTTTTTATTGGACTATTTGTTAACTGTTTAAAAATGAATTAAATAAAGATATATAAAAATAAAAAATTAAGAAAATATGGAAAATTGTAAAAATTATAAACATATATAAATATGTGATTGATTTGGAAAATTGACTAGATTGACTAACAAATGGACTACTTATTATTTATTAGGTTTATTAATAAATATTAATAATTATTATAATATTATAATAATAGACAATTGGGCTTTTTTATTTTTTAAATATAAACTTGTCTTGAATGCAGCCGATTTCCCATGCTTTAATCCGAAACCCCAAATAGAAACATCAACATGAAAGCAACATTTCTCAACCAGTTGGCTTCATAGATTCAGCCAATATCTGTCTCTGGGCACGGCATCTCCACGGCAAAATGCCTCGATATCGGACATGTCGAGCACATCCTGTCAGTGCTGTGAATCTTCTTCCTCACAGAACTTCAAGTATTTTTCCGAGTCCATCAAGTTTTTCAACTCCCCGGCATCGTTCATCTCAACCTTAATAATCCATCCATCTTTATATGGACACGAGTTAACCTAAATTGCGATGAACACAAATTGTATACGAAAAAGTGAATATAAAAAAAATACTTAAAAAATCCAATTTTCCGGAAATCATACAAAAATCGGAAGCGCTAGAGTGCTAACCAGAGCAGGAGAGCTGTTGAGCTCTTCATTAACTTCAACCACTTTTCCCGAAACAGGAGAATTAACATCACTAGCGGCCTTGACGCTTTCAACCGCTCCAAAACTGTTACCCTGCTTTACGACAGCTCCCACTTCAGGTAATTCGACATACACAACATCACCTAAATGATCTTGAGCATGATCGGTTATACCAATCGTGGCAGCATTACCATTAACCTTCACCCACTCGTGAGAATCGGCATATTTCAGATCCTTCAAAACTGCAGGAATAGAAGGGAGGTATATAATAGATAATGTAGCTGTAACTCTAGACAGAAATAAATTTGTAGTGGTTTATGTGATCAAACGAATCGAATATCCTTTTCATACACAGTCATGAGTCATCATAGGTAGTACAACACCAAAATAAATATAAAAATAACATTCATCAAGTACCATGGATGCATTTTGCTTATACGGTGCTGCTTCAAGGAACGATGAGCTTATATAGAGAACAGAATTTGAAGTTATATCATGGTTAACACGGTCTAATACTGCTAAGACAATTTTATTCCAAATTAATAGAGCTCAACTATACTAATATGTCAGCACTAAACCCTAAGATAGGATAATGTTACGAGCCAAATCTATGTAAGGAAAGTCCGTTAATTCGAGTTAATTTATATTAAGGCTTAGGTTAAGTTTTTATTTATTTCCTTAACAATGCAATTGTAAAACTCTAAGCAGAATTTATACCAAAAACACTAAAAGATCTGAATTTCCCTATAACAAGTCCTAAGATTTCAGTTTCGTTCGAATAGCTGAAATATCAATCCCAAACACATGATCATAATAAATAACATGCTCACCGCACGTTGAGGACAACATAAGTTTAGGGTCTTTTCAGTTTCTACAAATTTCTATAGCGCTTTCCCAATTTATAGTTATAACAATATATATATACACAAACATACATATACACAAACATACATATACACAAACATACATATACAGCCAGATTAGCCACAGACTGCACCTAATGCATAGCATGATGTTTCATAATGAATGCGAGGGACTCATAAGCAATATCTACAAAATTCATATCCCATTATTCGGTTGCATTAAATTGGTAACCAGGACTTCAATGAACTGTTATTTACTGTTTTCTTGAGAATTTTGTTTTTGTTTTTGTTTTTGTTTTCAGAATCCAAATAAGGGGATATCAGGCCAAACTAAAAGTTATTTTTTTTCAAGAGCAAGCCAACAATTATTGCTTCAAACACCCGCACCGATACTCGGCAGTTGCCCTACACAACTATCCCCTGCCTCAACCACACCGATCAAATCACCGCCAGATTACCATCACTTTTCATGCTCTCTAGTGTCTTGTAGTAACCATGTCTCTAGCTCTAAATTGATCATAAACAAAATCCCATGTTTACAGACATCTGGAGCATGTATATCTATATATTATAATTCCCAGAACTCTAAAGTTTTGCTTGATACGATGGATAAAAGAGTGAGGATATAAAATTTGTTACTGAATTTTCCATACTCACACGTTTCTATACTTCTACCAAGCAGAACCTAATACTGTGCATTAGCATTAAAAAAACACACTTAACAACCCAATCAGATAAATCAAAATCTAATATGTTTTTTCCACTAAAATGTAAACCTTGGATAAAAAATAAAATCAACACCCAAACCCGTGATCTGGGTATAATTGTCTTCATGATCATTTAACAACATGAGAAAAATAATGGAAAGGATAATGGAATACCAGTGGAAAAGCCTCTATGGAAGACGGAGATCCGGAGGTAAGAAGCCACTCTAGAAGCCCACAACATTGTTGAAGCCATTTCTAATGTAAAAATCTCGACAACCGCCGAATTCCAAGTGGGCGCAGCGCGAATATGCAACCACCGAACTCTCTTTTTTCGGTGGGTTGGTTGGTTGTCAGGACCCAAGGTGAGGGTACCTTTTTTTTTTTTAAGGAGTAATCATATATATTTCATATATATTAATTAGCTAACCCTATTCCCATATCTAATGAGGTAAGGAGAGGTTGAGAGCAACTTCCGTGAAAAACCTCCGGCAATTGTGAATTGCCCACCGTGAGACTCGATCTCACGACCACAAGATTAAGAGCCTTGCGTTCTATCAACTGAGCTGAACGGACAATTATTGTTATTTGAATTATTATTGTTATTTTTAAAGATTTTAAATTCGAGTATCGAGGGTATATAATTATAAATCTTTATTATAAAAAATTAAAAAAAAATAACAGATATTATCTTACGTATAATTTTAATAAAAAATAGTTGAGGAATCATAACAAAATAAAAATAATAATTTGAATATTAAAAGTTAGGTATGTGTGTTTTTACCCTATGTATTATTGGTCTACTTGTGCTTTCGGTCTATATAATCATGGAGTATTTGAATTTAGTCTTGTTTTAAATCTTAACAATTTAGTCCCTCTATAATTTTAATTTATAATTGAACTCCACTTTATTTTACAACTTAGAGATGTTGGGTGAAGGTAGGTGTGCAATGCTTACTAGTTTTCACGCAACTTTAAATTAGTCAAGTGAATTTTTTTTTATTATAAATAAGAATAGAAATCAAAATGACCGTTTGCACAAACGTTGATAAATAATTTTATCATTATACCTTTATACTTTTATATAGTTTTTAATTAAATCATTTAAAAAAACTCATTTAAGAATTAAATCTATATCGAAAATTATTTATATATTAATGCTTTATCATTTAATTTGAATTTTTAACCATATTTTTATATGAAATCCCTTTTTACTGAGAATCATAATGTGACAAAATCTAATGATATTAAACCCATATAAAACTATATTGTTTTATACACTTTCATGGACTTTGTGTAAGCTTAATGTTTTAAGAATTTTATTGTTAAATTTATTTATTTATTATTATTTTTTGAAGTTCGGAGTTCGAACATTATAAATGTCTGAAATATTAACGTTCAATCAAATGATTAAATACTTAATCAAAAATCTTAGCATGCATAATTTAAACCATTAAAATGATAATTTAGCTATTAAAATATTAATTATACAAAAATTCTATAAAAAAATTCCGCATAAAAAATAATTCTACAAAATCAAATCAAACCTTATCGCATTTAAATCTCGTATCCATCCAACTATAGCTATGCATGTATACTTGTCGGGAGGCTTTCAAATCGTAGACAAACAAAATTTAGGCAGACGACTCCACTTCAACTTCATGTTTCAATGGCAGGCTGTGTGTTGTAGGGGTGTACGTGATATTATGTGTTTTTTTAATAGTCTAAATTGATTACAAAATAACATATATTTAGAATTTTTTTAATTTATTAATAATATGCACACACCTTACAGATACAACTGTTTAAATCTAGTACGAATCAAGTGACCTCAGTGGTAAAATAGTTGTTATTCCTTGAGGATCCAGGTTCAAGCACCATAGATGTCAGGGGTGTGAGCGTTTAATATCGAGAAATTAAGAGTTATATTTGAACAAATATTGTCTTGTATTTACCTAGAAAAAAAAGTTATTCAAATCTAAAATCTCTAAAAATAAATTAACTACTAAAACACTTGATAGTTTGCTGATTTCCGCCCGATCAGCCTTTGCACGGTGCTTTATAACTTACTTACTGAGCTTGTCGTTCGAAGACTTAAATCAGTATTTCCTTTGTTTATTGGAGCAAATCAAACCAGCTTCATTTCGGGACGATACATCACGAAAAATATCATTATCAATCAGGAAGCTATTCATTTGATGAAAAATTCAAAGCTTAAAAAGGGATGGATGGCTATAAAGGTCGACTTAGAAAAGGCTTTCGACATGCTTCATTGGAGCTTTATATCAGACTCTCTCGTTGACGCTGGCTTCCCAACAGACATTTGTCGGATTATTATGGACTGTGTCTCCTCTTCAAGCATTCAAGTTCAATGGAATTGCAAACTCACTCGAATTTTTCAACCTGCGCGAGGCATCCGACAAGGGAACCCCTGTCTTCATAGTTATTTGTCTTAGCTATGGAACGATTGGGACATCTTATTAACCATTCAGTTTCTACGGCTTCTTGGGAACCATTCCATTTTGTTAAAAATGGAACCACCTTATCTCATTTATTCTTCGCGGATGATCTGATCATGTATGCGCGCGCATACATGTCTCAAGCTGTTGATATAAAAAAATATTCTCGCTCTCTTTGGCAAATCCCCTGGTCATCGTGTTAATGCGAGAAAGACAAATGTTTAATTTTCGCCAAATATTGATCCTCTTTTGCAACATGAAATAAGTTCGTATCTTGGTTTTCAGCTCGTCGATTGCCTTGAGAAATATTTGGGTGCCCCGGTCTTACACAAAAGAGCTAAGTGGGCTGATTATAATTTTATTGTAGATAAAATGAAAGCTCGCTTTAGTGGTGGGCTGCTCGTTCTTCATCCATGGCTGGCAGGATCACCTTGGCCAAATCAACTCTTTCGGCGATCCCAGTTTACTTCATGCAATCAACGATGTTACCCAAAAAAGGTTTGCCTTGACATCGAAAGAATCATTCGAAATTTCATTTGGGGATCCACCACCTCTGCTAGCAAAATTTCTCTAATTAATTGGGAGGCTCTTTGTCAACCTGTTGATTGTGGAGGCCTTGGCTTGAGACGAGTTCATGAATATAGCTTTCATCCTTAAAATTGGTTACTCTTTGCTGACTGATATTGATACTCCCTGGGCTCACCTTTTGCGAGAAAAATATCGAGTTCATGACCTTTGCCTTGACTCAATAGTTCGGCCCCGTTGTACTCCCCTTCGGAGGGCTCTCGCCCCCCACTGGAATGATCTCCGGGCAGGAATTGCCTAGTCTCTAGGCAATTGTAGTTCTGTCCGACTCTTAAATGATATTTGGGTACCGTTTATTGGACCTTTGCGCGATAATGTAGCCATCCCATACAACCTTGTCCATGATTGCTCTTTCTCGGATCTGCTCAATAGTAACGTAGGTTGGGATTATGGTAAACTTTCCTCGTATTTCCCTGCTGATTCAATTCCCCACATTTTGGGAATTAAAAGTCCAGACCCAACGGATTCTAATGATGATCGTATCATTTGGAGATGGAATCCCAAACATAACTTCGATGTAAAATCAGCTTACTCTCAATTGGCTTCGACCACGTGGGATTCAAATAATTCTATTTGGAACAGAATATGGAAGTTGAACGTGCCACAACGCCTTCGAGTATTCCTTTGGGTCGCCTACAAGAACCGCCTGATGACTAACCTTGAAAGATGTCGACGCTCTATTGGTCAACATCCATTTTGGGATCAAGGTTTACTCTAACTGTGCAGAGGCGGTCAAAATTCTGAGCACTCCAAATATGAGTAACAGCCCCCTTTCCCTCGCTCGTGCAATCAATGGAATCAGAATGAGAAGTTGGTCTACTGTTATTGCTTGGATTCCTCGTGAATGCAACCTGCCTGCTGATATTGCAAATACCTCTAACTTGGAACTCATCTTGTTAGCTTCTCCTCCAGCAGTTTTATGTTATTTTTTTAGCTAAAGATGCAGTGCATCTTTCTACCGTACGACCTTATTAAAAAATTCAAATTATTATACATTTTATATAATTTCTATATTTTTTATTGATAATATATTTTCGTCCTCTTAATATTTGATAAATTTATTAACTTTTAAAAATTTTAAAAGTTTATTTCTAATATAAAATTATACATATGTAACTATTTAAAATTAATACGATCAGATTAATTTTTTTTTAATTTAAAGTCAAATCAGGTTCTATTAGTAATTGTAATTCACCCTTGGTATTTTATTCTAGTTCCCATATAACAATAAAATGGTTCTTAATAAGCAAGTTTGAAACCGAGGAAGGGTAATGGCGGCGCTGTAGGGTACATAAAATCCAAAATGAAAGAGTCAACGAAGAAAACAGACAAAGTGGAAATATATGGGACATTAGGATGTTAAATGCCCTTTGCAGATGCAGACTTTGGGTTCCTTTCAACCAAGTGGATATATATATATATATATATATATATATACTTTTTGTTTGTGTCAAGTGGATGTTACATATATTTTACACAATGACTAAATTTTTTAAATCTCTTATTAATCCAATAGAATACTGAATTCTTTTAGGGTATATTATGTATTCAGTCATCAAACTATCATTTTGATTTAGTTTTAATCATGGAGTTATTTCTTTTTCAAAATCATTGCTTATATTATGTTTTGATTTCATTTTGATCACTCGTTGTTAAAAAATTAACATAAATATTGATTTGACATGATCTTATGGTGACATTTCAGCATCATCTTTAATTTTTTAACGATGAGTGACTAAAATAAAATCAAAATGTAACTTAGTGATGATTTTGAGAAAAATAATTAAATAACTAAAATGAAATAAAAATGATATTTGATTGAGTAAACACGTAGTTTACCCATTCTTTTATGGTCTTCTTTCGTTTTCTTTAAGAATCACAAAGATTTTGTGGTAGTTGGGAGATGGGGGGTCTCTCTCAGCTCACGACTTTCACGAGACTATTGAGCGACTTTTCTTCTCACTTTTCCGCTTCTCATTTCTCACGTTCTTTGAAACATTCATTTAATTATGATTTTTTTTTTGCTTTTACAATTGAAGTAATAATATCTTTTATTTTGTTTAACGTTTTAAAATTTTAACCTTTTGATATTTGTAATTATCCTTTTTTAATAATATTATTTGTAATATTTAACATTAAATTTCTTTTATTTTGTTGCGTTTGATTTCGCCGTTGAAGGACTGTCGGACACGAATGCGTTTGTCAGTGGTTGAAGAACGGCTGACATCAATCGAGTTGAGCAAATCGATGTTGATATCAAAAGGTTTGCTGGTTTGGGTGAATTAGTGAGTCCGGTTCGAGTTAGACGATATTCTCATCCTTTTTTAATATATTATTTGTAATATTTAACATTAAATTTCTTTTATTTTGTTGCGTTTGATTTCGCCGTTGAAGGACTGTCGGACACGAATGCGTTTGTCAGTGGTTGAAGAACGGCTGACATCAATCGAGTTTGAAGCAAACTCGATGTTGATATCAAAAGGTTTGCTGGTTTGGGTGAATTAGTGAGTCCGGTTCGAGTTAGACGATTATTCTCAAACAACGATTATTATTCTAAATTTTTCCTTATGTTTTTTAATATTTTAATTCCATCCCTAAAATATACCTTTCATTATAAATTGGTCCTCAAAGTTTTTCAACATTTTAATTTCATACCAAATTTTATGTATATACTAATCACATTCCATGTCAATAAAATCGTTAAGCCAATCTATAATATTATACGTTCGAAAAAAAATAGGTTAAACTATGGTTAAAATTAATTACATATTTGGATGAATTTAGAGATGAAATTGGAATATATAAAAATTTTGGGATCAATTTAGAATGAGGGTCATAGTATGAGGATGGAATTGGAATGTTTAAAAGTTTAAAGACCAATATAGAATGAGTATCATAGTTTGAGGATGAAGTTAAAATATTTAAAAATTTAGAGACCAATTTAAAATAAGAATCATAGTTTAAGGACATGCGATGCAATTAACTCTTATAGTAATTGTTTTTTCATCTCCATTGGTAGGGACAAATCTGAGAAGGGTTGGTTGGTCTCCATATTTTTTGATTCAATAATAATTTAAATATATATAAAATTCTAAATATTAGATAATTTTTTTTAAATTGAGGTAAATATAAGATATTATCTCTTCAAAGATTATGAATTACACGACATTGAACATTCATATCCATACATACATGATATTCAAATTTGAGACCTCAATAAATAACTATTAATTTCTTAAATAAATTAATTTTAAATATTTAAGAAATACTACAAAAGTGGAGATAAAGTCGATAAAAATAAACGAGAAATTTCGTTAGAAAGTTTGCGAAAAGGATAATTTTTTTAAAGAAAGATTTGAGAACTTGTCTTCGGCTGCTACTTGTATGCGCGTCTGCAGATGTTCCCATTGAAATTTTGGGCAGCTTGCTCTACATTTCTAGTTGATAATAAATTTCTTTTTTACTTTCTCCTAAAAAAACGAATTAATATATTTTTCATCGTCAATGGAATTGATAAATGAAACTAACAGATTTTGATTTCAAAATATTAATTATGAAGAATATTAGACATAACAACAGTTTGGATCGAATTAGATTAGATTTTGACGAAGATGTATTGTGGTAAACCAATCGGAAAGGAGTTGCTGAGGTTCCGCCTTGCACGGCGGTTGCAGGTGCGGTGCAGCAAGAAGCTCAATGAAGCATTTAACCTATCATACAATTTGTATAAGAAAAAAGTGATTTTAATACTAAATTTAAATGAAAAAAAAACTATATGTGAGATTTAACATTAAGATAAAATTCAGTAACACAATGTAAAATTAAAAGGTTTAAATTGATTTAGGATTGTTGGATCAGCGAGAATAAACAAAAGAATAAAACAATAAGGCGATCTATTTTATCTATTTTTATTTGTCCAATAATTTTAAAATAATATAAAATCAAAACGAAATTATAATACTTAACCCTTAACAATCATGACGGTGGGAATGAAGATGTCAAAAAGTTTATTTTCCACTGACATAGATAAGCCTGCAATTAAAATATTAACGTTAATTTCAGTAGCCAAATTTGCTAAGGAATGTGTTAATTAGGCAGTACACGTGATGAAAATGTCAACCAACACCAACCCATCAAAGTCTACATATGTTACAAATGTAATCCTGCCAACCCAACCATTATCATACGTATAATATGATGTAATTAATAATTTATTATATGCAATCAAGATTAATAATAAAGCAAAAGCAAAGGCAAATAATTCTACTTTACTAATAATATGCATGCACGGTTGTTCATTGAACGTTGCCATGGGGGTAAGTACCAAGAAATTGTGGGAATAATTCTCATAAATAAATATTTCCAGCTAACGCATACAATTAAAAGATAAAATAAAATTCTAACCATACGTAATTTTCTGGCTGTGTCAAAAGCTATATAAAGCAGCTTGGGAGAGAAACTAAGCACAACACAATCAGCTCCCATTAGGTGCAGGAGAGAAATTAAAGCTTTCAAGTGTTAGTTTGTTTTCAATATTTCAAATGGGCAGCCTTGCATCTTTTAATGAACTAGGGAACGGTTTCAGCAACAACGTTAACCCCCTAGATCCCGATGAATTCAGGAGGCAAGGCCACATGGTCATTGATTTTCTAGCTGATTATTACCAGAACATCGAGAAATACCCGGTTCTGAGTCAAGTCGAACCCGGATACCTCGCGAAACGATTGCCGACCACCGCACCATACGTTGCCGAGCCGGTGGAAGCGATCCTTCAAGACGTGCAGCAACATATTATCCCCGGGATAACTCACTGGCAAAGTCCGAACTATTTTGCGTATTTCCCTTCGAGTGGTAGCGTTGCGGGCTTCCTCGGTGAAATGCTTAGCACCGGTTTCAATGTGGTCGGATTCAACTGGATATCGTCACCGGCTGCGACGGAGCTGGAATCCATTGTCGTGGATTGGCTTGGACAAATGCTTGATCTTCCTCGTGCTTTCCTTTTTCGCCGGAAACGGCGGTGGTGTTCTGCAAGGAACGACTTGCGAGGCGATTTTGTGCACCGTAACAGCCGCGAGAGATCGGATGTTGCTCAAAGTTGGGAGGGAGAACATCGGGAAATTGGTTGTCTATGCTTCCGATCAGACACATAGTGCTCTAGCAAAGGCAGCTAAAATCGCCGGTATTGACCCTAAAAACTTCAGGGCCATCAAGACGAAAAGGTCGGCTGCATTTGGTCTGTCACCGGAATCACTGCGACACGCAATAAGCACAGACGTAAAAGCTGGACTTATCCCGCTATATCTCTGTGCCACGATCGGGACAACGTCGACCACCGCCGTTGATCCATTGATCCCACTCTGCGATGTGGCCAAAGAATACGGAATGTGGGTTCATGTCGATGCTGCATATGCAGGAAGCGCCTGTATTTGCCCTGAGTTCCGGCATTTCATCGACGGCGTCGAAGGAGCAGACTCATTCAGTCTCAACGCTCATAAATGGTTCTTCACCACACTGGACTGTTGTTGCATGTGGGTAAAGGATCCGAGTAGTCTCATAAAATCACTCTCGACCAACCCCGAATACCTCCGGAACAAAGCTAGTGAGTCTAATCAAGTGGTTGACTACAAAGACTGGCAGATAACTCTCAGCCGTAGGTTCCGAGCCATGAAGCTTTGGCTCGTCCTGAGAAGCTACGGCGTTGCCAACCTCAGAAACTTTCTGAGAAGCCACGTCAAAATGGCGAAACGCTTCGAACAGCTCGTAATCACAGACAATAGATTCGAAGTCGTGGTCCCACGGTATTTCGCTATGGTGTGTTTTAGGGTTTCGCCATCTGCATTGCCGTTTCGCAATGCCGATGACGACAACGAGATGCGTGCAAACGAGTTTAACCGGAAACTATTGGAGACGGTGAACGCGGAGGGGCGAATTTACGTGACTCATGCACAAGTCGATGGGATTTACATGATACGGTTCGCCATTGGCGCCAGTCTTACGGAGGATAAACATGTTCTCATGGCTTGGAAGGTGGTCCAAGAGACGGTAGATGCCATGCTCAACACTCTATAGTTTTGTTCATCAACCTCGTATTGTATTTCGGCGTACTGCATTACTTAAGACCCTGTTTTTTAGATGACAAGATCGGCTTGTTTGTTTATTGTACGATGAAATAACTGATGTTTGGTTCTGGTTTGTAAGAGCGTTGAACCATAGCAAGTTGCCGCCGCCTTTCATGTTGACATACTAAGTGTACACGTTGTTGGCAATTTCCCACTTTTACTATTCCTTCTTCTAATTTCTTTGTAATATTTTTTAATATTATCTTTACTTTTAAAATAAAAATATTTGGGTTAAACATTAGAACCAAAGTTTAACGTGTCTCTATAACATAGACGGTGACAGAGATATATTGTAGGTGGGAGGGATAATACCCTAATTTGTTATAAGTTAATTACATTTTAGATCATTAATAATTTTAAATTTGTTGTAATGAAATCATCGTTTTGTTGAATTACTGTTTATTATTTTATTAATTTTAAAATTAATAAAACTAAATTTTGATCTCTAATTTTAATAATTTAATTACTTCTTAAATCTTATTCATTTTAAAATTAAACAATGTTTGTCTTTATAATTCAATTCTAACTCTGAACCAGAATATGAAATATATTTACAGTTGAAAAAATCTGATTTGAGTTAAAAAAGTAAACCTAGTTGTATGAATTTGGACATGTGTGATGTTAGATTATAAAATGGTGCAGTAGGTGAGGCATACTTTTAATATTAACTTTAAGAAGTTCAATGAAAATGTGATAAGGTTAATCATATATTTTCGGCCTACTCTACTCTACGGGTAAAATTACACCTTTGGTCCTCCTCATTTCCCACCCATATATATGCATTTTGAAAATTGAAGAGGCGTGTCATTTGGTTGGTTACCCATGGTTTTTGTTTTCTTTAAAGATTGGTTTGGTGGAACATAACCAGAAATGGTAAGAAATATTGGATGCGTTTAGGTTAGGTAAGAAATGAGTTTGACTAAAATTATAGCTTCTAATTCTTATTTTTTTAATATTATTATTAATTAATCAAAATTCAAATTAATTATCTAAAACAAAAATCAAACTTAAATGACTTCCAAACAATTATCTTTTCAAAATGCAAATACTTGAACCAAGAAAGAGCCTCCCGAAACGGCATAGCCTCCGCCACCCTTGGGTTGGTGGAAGATAGCCATCAATTCATCACGCACAATAGTCATGTATTTTTATTTATTAAATAAAACAAATGAATTATTTAATTATCATTTTAAAAATTTTGGTTTCCTCTAATCATAGAATGATATTTTAGATATTTATTGCCAAGGTTGCCTCTGTTGATCACTTCAACCTGCGTACTTTTAGCTTGCCACCAATGGTCATTGCTGATTTGCTTGCCGACGATGCTGCCACGTCTTGTAACCACTGCTGTTGCGGATCTATACATTAATATTTGATGGACCAAATAGATTCTGTTAATTATTGAAAATTAACCTTTTTAGTTTGGAAGGAGAGTATATCGGGTGTCAAAGTACTCTGTCTTCGTCATGAAGTAGAGCACAGAAAAACAAGGATGAGTAAGTTTCATAGAGGTTGTATTCTATTTTTCGACCATAATTGAAAGATTTTACAATGACCCTTAATGTTTGTGTCAATTGTAGGGTTATAATGATTACTTATAGATTAACATGCTAAGTGGATACAATCAGGTGACGATAAATTTAACTCTAATAAATCACGTGGACTAGTAAAAATCTCATCAACTAGGTCATAACATTGGTTGTAATGTGTGCTGAGGGAGCTGAACCAAACTTAGCATGAATTGCTACTTAATTATGGTTGTAAGCAAGTCATTTTGAGATTATATTTTGACTAAATTCTTAAAATATTCCTAGTAGGATGTTTGTATTCGTTCTTCCATTTTGTTTTTATTTCTTCTTTCTCCTCAAGATGAAGACCAATTTTTCCCTCTCTTTTATTATTTTATTTGGGGTCAATCTTTATCCAAATGATCATTCTTTGGTCTATGGGTAGGTAAAAAGACGGTTGATATTATATATATATATATAAGAATATACCTATTTGCATATTTTATGCTGAAATCTATAGTTGACTTATAACTAATTGCTTTGCAAGATTTCCCACCACCCATTTTAGCAATGTTTTCTCCTCGTTTGGAAATTGTGATATTGGGTTGTTAGGTTTTCTTTTTTCTCTTGTATCATCTTTTCCATGTTTTAATTGGTTTCATGTATTTTTTTAATAAATGTTCAATTCAATTATAAAATTTAGAAATAAATAAAGATAAATTAAAAATTAATTTTTAGAAAATTGATAGATAATTTCTCGATACAACAAACAAAGGGAACCAATCTCTCGAATCCTTTCTCTCTATTTTTTCTCTTCAAAATAATTAATTACAACTCTCCTTTAAATTATAAAAAGTAATTACTAGACAATATTTGTTCAAAGACTCTCAATAAAATGTGTTATGTTGGGGAAGAAAATTTGTAGAACCTCTTTTTGGTTATGGAAAGATACGAGGGACTAATTTTATGCTTTTTGTATAGTATATGGAGTAATAGAATAATTTGACCAAAGAAAAATCTATGTAAATAACATATTGTTAAGACATAGTTATCTCAACAACCACAATCGACACCACCTTTTTCCATTGATGTGATCAGCATGCGTCTTTAACTAATTTATCTCTTTGCTTAGAATTAGCTTTTCCATGTGTCTCTACCAATGAAAACCAAACTTAACTCCATGCCATTTAATTTAGAGATTACGTTAACTTAATTATAAATATATCATTCATGATGATTACATATAAATACAATCAATATAATATAAATATATATATAATAATTGTCATATACTCTCATAGGTGATTTTTGAAAATTACCTAATTTCTGTCAAGTTTTAGCGTATATTATATGTAAACAAGACCTAATTAAAATCTATTTGAAGCTTATATTATGTGTCATAATAAAACTTATATCTACTTAACATATCGATCTATGAATAATTACCATAGTTCTGTGATTGACACATACACTAAATACCATAATAATACTTCTTCATATTACTAAAGACTGAAAGAGGTAAACACCATTTACAAACATCCTTCTTTTTTTTATGATTATTTCTCTACCATATTTATATGGATCTACGGTCATTCTTTTACTAACCATTCAATCTAAAATTAAATAGTTTACAATCAATGAATTCAAAATAATATCATAATTTAAATATATATATATATATATAATAGTTATCAGCACTATTGATACGATATATTCCTTTATATTTCTTTGACGTATATCACATATACGATGAACGAATACATCACAAAATATAAAAAAATGAAGAACCCTGTTTTCCTGGGTTTCTTGAACTGTCGGCAACTATTGCTTAACTGTTATTACGGACTGCTCAGAGACAGTTCACACGTGGCAGACTTCCCATTGGTCAAAACACTTTCCTGTCATTTTTTTCTAATGTCTTTTAAGCAAAACCTTAAACACCGCACCCCAACATATAAAAGCATCCATCCCCGACCTTGTTGATGATCGCTGTTAAATTTACTGTCGGCAGAGGAAACTCAAACTAGCAAGACTAGTTCATTTCAATGCATTGAAAATATATTATTTTCCCGATAAAATTAGTAAAAAAAAATTCCGGGAAAAGCTTTCTAGAAGATGATGAAGAAGAGAATGTCCGGTGGGTATAGAAAAATGGGCGAAAACTCAAGAAATAGGGAAGGAGAAATCGACTGGGAAATGAGACCCGGAGGGATGCTGGTGCAGAAAAGGAACCAGAACGGCTACGTTTTGTGTCCTGATGTTCGGTTACGTGTTGTTTACGGTGCCGTGCGTTACGACATCTCCGAGAACTCCCAAGCCACATTCGATAAAATAACCTGATCTTAATTTTCTCACGATTTTCCATTTTCTTTGACTTTCTCTTTGATGCTTGGCTGATGGAAAATCGGTACTTATTTACGGGGTAAACAGGGGAGGTGAAGAAGCGACTAACAGCAGAAACAGGGTTAAAACCGAGTGAACAGAGATTGATATTCAAAGGGAAAGAGAAAGAAAACGGTGAGTATTTAGACATGTGCGGCGTCAAAGACCGATCGAAACTCGTATTAGTGGAGGATCCGGCAAGTGTAGAGCGACGGTTCATCCAGAGGCGGAGAAACGCCAAGATTCAAACAGCTCATCGGGCCATCAACCACGTTTCCATTGAACTCGATAAGCTGGCAGACCAAGTAAGTAAGCAAGTTCTCATTTTTCATAATAATATTATCCATCATCGCATAAACTTTATTGCTTTCCCAAGGTTTCGGCAATAGAGAAATCGGTCTCCAGCGGAGCTAAAGTCCCAGAAGTTCAAATCACGACACTGATCGAGATGCTAATGAGACTAGCGATCAAGCTTGAAGATGTGGCTGCCGAGGGAGATGCTGTAGCCCAAAAAAACTTGCAGGGCAAGAAAGTACAGAGATGTGTCGAAAGCCTCGAGACGTTGAAGATATCGTCGGGAAGAGCTAAGGCAGGTACCAGTGTTATTGTGACAACCCAATGGGAGAAATTTAATCCTTCTCCTCCGACGATGGCGCTGTGGGAAGTTTTTGATTGATCCCTCCGTCCATTCCATTAAAAGGGTGAAGATAGACACAAATTAACGAGCTATCTACCTGTAGATTTACAGTCCTCCCTTTACCATGTGTTGTGCCGATAAGCATTTGTGAAGGATTATACGAAACTAATGTACTTATTAGATGAATGAAGCTGGGTTCAGACCCTGCGTATCGATAGTCGTTTGGTAAAATTGCAAGCAGCTGTCCTTTCTTTGAAATGGCAATGGGGTAAAGAAATCTAGAATCCGAGTGATAATTTATATATCTTATAATCATCGATTACGACTCTCTATTTAAATAAGAAAAAGTAAACCGTCAATAAATCTATAATAATTTTATTTCTATCAACAATATTCCAGCTAGTTATTGGTGTAAGCAAACTAGCGTGGTGAAGATATTCTAGCTTGATGTAGTTGGCTATGAGTTAACGTGTATATGTATATACTTTTGGATTGAAATAGGAAGGAGCAGGATACATAAGAAGCAAGCATTTGGTATATTTTTGTTCTCAGTCCTTGTACTCTTTAAACATTTCAAATTAATTTTTATACTTTTAATTCTAGAGATCTAGTCATACTCTTTTGATTTATTAATTAATGTCCAATTCATAACACTTTCAAAGAACTTTCTTAAGAAAGAATGTTTCAGTTTTTAAAATTATTCTCAAAATCAGTTTGAAGTCACATAAAAATCATGTAAAAAGCGTTTCAACTTTCATTCTACTTATCTGAAATAGTGTTAAAAGCCTTATAAACCCAATTCAAAATAAAAAACCTTATAGTCCTAGATTTACACAAGTATAATATTGATCATATGGGTATTTTATTTTAAAAATGTTAAATAATCTAATCATACGAGAAAATTTCCGAGGTATTATCAATTTTATTTAAATTATTAAATTGAAAGAATAAAGAGTTAAATTCATAAGATTAAAAATAGAAGAGTTTAAATTTCAAATATATGAAGAGTATATGTACCTAGAGCAGAATTAGACTAAAACACTCTTCGGGCCTGGTTGCTACAGTTTTAAATAGCAGTAATTATCTGGCCCAAGGTAGTAAGTAAAAAAAAAATGTAAAAGTGAAAATGAATCAGAAATTGAGCGCCAACGGCAACGGGTAAGAGAAGACTATGGCGGGTTGAAATTTGAATTTGGGATTTTGGGTTTTGCGCTTTCTTCCGACACAATCTTCCGCCGCCATTTATATCGTTCCAATTCGATTCCTCTTTTCAGTTATTGACTTCTTTCCGTCGCATAATCTCCAGAAGAAAGAAAAACTCACCAAAAATGGGGGATCCCAGTCACCTCGAGAAAATGGGCAGGGAGCTGAACTGCCCCATTTGGTATTATTCATTCTCGTCGCTTTCATGTTTCTTTTCATTGTTTTCTCTTATTATTATTATTTTTTAAAATTTTTAATAAAAAAATTCCGATGCAGCTTGAGTCTGTTGAACTCTGCGGTTTCGCTCACATGCAATCATGTCTTCTGCAAGTACGTTTTATAGCCCTTTAATCCCTTTCACACTTTTTTGAATTTACATTTTGTGTGTGTTTACGCTTTCATCGAAATCATTGAAATCCCTTATTCATTTCTGGTTCTTTTCAGTGCCTGTATATTGAAATCGATGAAATTGGGTTCCGATTGTCCAGTTTGTAAAGTACCTTACCGGCGTCGAGGTATGCTTCATTTCTTGATTTTCAGTCCTTTTGAATTATCGACTTGTTCATTGTCAGTGAGATTTTTTTTAAATCCATCTATCTGTTTGATTGAATGAAAATGAGGCCAGCGATATTGTTGTTTGGTTGTTTATTTTTGTGTTTTTTTCCTACTATATGAAACGTAATTGTTTCAACTGGCACTAAATTTTACCCATTTGCTTATATTCAACAATTGCTTTAAATTTATTGAGACAAGAAGTAAATGACAATAACTAATAATCAAGCTTCAATTGACTATAACTTATTTATTTAATGTTCACGGTGTAGAGGTTCGTCCAGCTCCTCACATGGATAACTTGGTTAACATTTACAAAAGCATGGAGGTTGCTTCAGGTTTTAGTATTTTTGTCACTCAGAATCCGCCTCTCGATTGTAGTGAAAGACCGGACAATCAAGGAGCAAACCAAAGAAGAGGATCATGTGTGGCTAAATTGACAGAAAGTTCTGATTCCATTCCTGCGAAGCCTTCTTTTCCAACCAACAAAAGGGTTCAGGTGCCACAATATCCCCTGTCAGAAACACCCATGCGGTCTGCAAAAAAATGGAAATGGGGTGATAGAAATCAAGGAGGATGAATCAAAAAGGAGTACAGATACTACAAAGGAGACCTACAATTTAAGAGAAAACGGGGAGCAAACACTTTCACCCCTTTTTTTGGTTGAGGGAGGAGGATGTAGAGAGGCCAAGTCAGCTCACCGATGGTGATCAATGTGTGTACACAACACCGCCTGAACTTCCCTCCTTCAGTGATATGAAGGATTCTGATGATGAAGGGTTTTCTAATGTAAGTTTTCACTTGCTTTTGGCATTGCTAGCTAAGTGCATTTAGTAAAATTTGCTACTCAAGCATCCAAAACAATTTGTATAAATAATATATGAATCTTCCTTTTAATGACAACTTCTCTGATGGCCGTTATCTAGTAATGGTCTGCAACTTTTTTACTTATGTCTTCATAAAATCATATAGGAGGAGATGAATGGAAACCCCGACCATGTGAATCTTTCTGATAGTGAAACGTTTGAATGGACACAGAGGCCTTGTTCTCCAGAACTTCTTCCAACTCCTATTAAAATGCAGGTAAACATAATCTCATTTTAAACCCCCACCTAAAGCTCGTTTGTATTTCTTCATTTCTGGGGGTTTTTTTTCATAACGTTTGGTCATTCTAATTTTACTATTATTTCAAACAAATGCAGGTTGAAGACACTGAAGAATCAGCATTACAGGTTGAAAATACAGTTACATCTTCCAGAACCAAGTGTGTTAGTCATAAGATTGGTCGTCGTAAATCCTGGGAGCTGGCTACTAAACAGAGAAAGACTTCCCCAAAGAAGATGGTTGACAGAACTAGCAGTCATATTTCTGGAGATCATGTCAATCTGGGAAAGGGATCTGAAGATTTTAACAAAAAACAAGAAGCTGACTGTAGTAGAAGTTCTTTATATTTGGCTAAGACTAGGAAAAATCGTAATGTGGCTGGGTTGGGTCACCATGAAAATGCTGAAATTCCTAAACAGGATGACAGACAATTGCCTTCTGTAGTCGATAAGGGAAAATGTGGTGTCATATATGAGAATTTGAGTTCAGCAAAAAGTTGCAGGAAGGTCACCGACCAGTTCCAAAAGAAATCGTGTTCGAAGTCAAAGAAACAAAAACCAAGTTTGGAGAAGGTTGATATCCCTAAAGAAGTTTCAACGGTTCAGAGTCCGACAAATGAAAATATGATTCAACAGAAGCCCTCACTTCCCATCCCCTTAGCTCATGACAGTGGTGCCAAACAGGTTGGGAAAGGATCGATTAAACGTGCTACGGAGGTAAAGTTGACTACAAGTGAAAAGACCTCAAGTTGTAAGAAAAAGATGAAAGTTTCTTTAATCGGTGACACGAAAAGTGGGCTGGCTGAAGGCCAACAGCAGCAGCAGCAGCAAGGAAATAGTAATGTGTTTTCAGAAAGACCAAATGAAAAGTTTCACGGGAGTCCAACTGGTGGAATTTCAGATGGTTCAACGGTAAAGAAGTTGCCTTTAGCAAACGGAGTGACCTTGTATAAATGTGAGACCATCACAAATAAAACACAATGTGCTTTCTGTCTTTCTACGGAAGAGACTGAGGTTTGAGCTTTAGTGTTTCCTCCTAAGTCCATGATATGATAAAAACTTCCCATCTTTTCGATCAAATTGCGAAGTTTATTTGCTAAAAAATATTTGCAGGCTACAGGAGAGATGGTTCATTACTATGAAGGCAGGCCTGTTCCTCAAGATTACAATGGTGGCTCTAAGGTCATACATTCGCACAAGAACTGCACTGAATGGTAAAAGAGTTTGTAACTGAATATACTCGTTCGAATTAGATTCTTTGAACTTGCAGTTTATGGCATTTTTAATATATTATAATGTGATTTTTTGCAGGGCACCTAATGTTTATTTTGAAAATGATAAGGCGATCAACCTTGAAGCTGAACTCTCCAGAAGTAGAAAAATAAAATGCTCCTGTTGTGGACTTAAAGGTGCAGCGTTGGGCTGTTATGAAAAGAGTTGTTGCAAGAGTTTCCATGTTCCCTGTGCAAAATTAGTCTCACAATGCCGGTGGGATACTGTAAGTGATATACAGATTGGGCAGTTTTATGGGCTAGATATGATTTTTGGGAAGTTAAAGACTACGTTCCTTGTTAACGAGTGTATTTATTTTGGATCACAATAGGATAACTTTGTAATGTTATGCCCTCTCCATGCCTCTTCTAACTTGCCTAATGAAAAGTCAGAATCTCAAGGTAGCAGAAAAAGAAGTGCTTTAAGAGGGTATGCTGAACTTTCATTCAGCTTATTCTAGATTCCTTACAAACTTCACCATTTCATCCTCATGAAAGTTTCATTAAGTTCTTGCTTCATTTGCAGACATTTGCCAATTCACAACAATGAAAATCCTACAAAAGAAGTTAGTATCCAGAAGAAATGGAATCTTTGTGAATCACGCAACAAATTGGTTCTCTGTTGCTCAGCTCTCACAGTTGAAGAAAAGGTAAGTGTCACAATCTGTTGTCCTTGTGTTTTTTTTATCGTTCACAGAAGGAAAACCCTTGACGTTTACTCTAAATTTGTTGAACTACAGGAAATCATATCTGAATTTGAGAAGCTAGCTGGTGTTACAATGTTGAAAAAATGGGATTCAAATGTCACCCATATCATTGCATCCACGGATGAAAATGGAGCATGCAAAAGAACCCTTAAATTTCTTATCGGTATCTTGGAGGGGAAGTGGATCCTGAATATTAATTGTCAGTACCTTGCTACCAAAAAATTGCTCGAGTTTATTGTTTTAAGACTTTTATAAGTCTATGTGCCTACTGCATATTCTGTAATTACAAATGCATATGCCTGAATAATCTCAGCTTGTATTCTAAACTTCTATTTGTGCAGGGCTCAAAGCTTGCATCAAAGCCATGAAACCTGTTGATGAGTTACCATATGAAATTAGTATTGATGTTCATGGAATCAGGGACGGTCCACGACTTGGAAGGCTTAGGCTCCAGAACAAGGTTGGTCCCTCTTGGTCTTTCAAATGCTCATTATCTGTTATAAATTATTGTTTTAATCCTTCATGGGACATGTTCATTAAGTAAGACCTTTTCTTTTGTGGCAACTTTTCAATGTCATCTGCAAAAATAAACAATTTATGTAGTAATATTTACTCTGTTACTAAAAGATAGTATCTACAGCGGCTTCTTGTAAGAATCCTGAAAATGATGCTTTGATGTGTATGCAATCTTTTAACACTGAACTTACAAGTTAATTTGGTTTTGTTCTGACAGTTTTTCTTTGTTGACAACTTTAATCTTTGCAGCAACCAAAGCTTTTTAACGAGTGTAAGTTCTATATAATGGGGGATTTCAAAACTTCTTACAAGGGATACCTACAAGATGTTGTAATTGCTGCCGGAGGCACCATTCAACATAGAAAACCTATTTCGGGTGATCTGGGAGCCCTGGTATCTGGTTCTACTATATCTTCAACCTTCATAATTTACAGTGTTGAGTTGCCTGATAAGTGTGATCCCAAGAAGCAGCAAATGATTTTAAGCCGCAGGCAATCAGATGCGGAAGCTCTGGCAAATTTAACAGGAGCCAGAGCAGTAAGCAATTGTTGGGTTTTGAACTCCATTTCTGCATGCAAAATGCAAAGTCTTGGTTAATAATGACACGGGTTGTAGTCTCTCTCGCTTTTAAATGTCTAAACAGTTCTATAGTTGTACCCTATGTTTAATGTCTTAATAATAGGTTTTATATTTTATGCATAGCTGTGGTTGTAAGTATCATTATTTCTCTCAGTTGAACTACTTTAAGAACCGACAATATGCTCTTGTTATGTGCTAGAGTGTTAGGCACAGCGGGTAACTAAAGAACTGGAATTGTTTTCTGCGCATCATGATGATGGTATTTCTATCTGTTCTATCTGTCTGAATATGGCAGTAAAAGATAATGCAGGTTTTGTAAATGACAATATCTACAACACAACAAACCAGTAAAAAGTTAATTAAATGATTGTCCATGGAGAAAATATAAAGATTATATGATGGATTTACTTTGAATGTTGAATGTATAATTGTCATGGAAGGGTTAATATTCATGGACTACTTGATATCATGCGCAACAAGCTAAACATCAAGAGGAGAAAAAACTCCAGTCACTCGAATGTTCTTTTCCTATCATGTGCATAAAGATTCAGTGGGAATTACCCTACCTCTCATGGTAAAAGCAAATTGCAAGAATCACCAATAGTCATTGCAAGAGCATTTCCCCGAGTAGAAGTGATGGAATCTGCATGAATCTCTAATAGTGATTCTGTGTCCTGTAACCATTGACACATGTTTTGCAAAATCATGGCAGTGTTTACATGCCCTGAGATTCTTGAAAATAGTTATAGGAGCATTGCTTGGTGCGGATATGAGCCCAAATGCTATGGCAAGTCTCTCACTGTGCTCCATAATCTGCTGTTTACGCTCCGGCAGACCAAATGACACATCCTCTTCTGTTAAAAGGATACTTTCAACGTCGGTAAAAGAATGGCTTAATTCTTTTAACTTTTCATAAATGTTTTGTGTCTGAGGATGATGTTTATCACCAACGACGAATCGATGTACCTTACCCTTGACGGTAATCCAGCTACAACTAAGTTCCTTTTTCAACTTTCTTGCACCCATCATACTTCTTATACGGGCCGCTTCTTCCCATTTCCCATGTGAAGCATATAGGTTAAACATCAGAATATAACCTGCAGTATCATCAGGATCCAGCTGAAGTAGATATTTGGCTGCAAATTTTCCCAGCTCAAGATTTCGGTGGATCCAACACCCACCCAACAAGCATTTCCAACTCATTGCATCCGGTTCGAAGGGCATATTCTTTATCAGTTCATATGCTTCCTGAAGCAGCCCGGCACGAGAGTATGTGTCGATCATACAATCATAATGATCAATAGTTGGTTTCACACCATACTCATGGCTCATTGACTCTAAATACAACTTAGCTTCTGTAACAAAACCAGAATGACTACAAGCAGTTAAAACCCCCACAAAAGTAACTTCATTTGGCTTCGCTGTAGAGTTCTGCATCCTTTCGAAAAGCTTTAGGGCTTCAAAAGCATTGCCATGATAAGCATGACCACATATTATCGCGGTCCAAGCCACCGTATCTGGTTCATCTATAGATTCAAAGGCTCGATTTGCATAGTCCAACCTACCACATTTTGAGTACAAAGTGATCATTGCACTCTCTCCATGAAGATATGAAACCAACCCTCTTTTTATTGCATCTGCATGAGCTTGGGCGCCCATGTTATAATCTGCAAGAGCAGAACATGCTTGGAAAATGCTAGTGTAAATAAATGAGTTTATTGCCATATCTTTTATCCTCAATGATTTAAAAATCTGCAGCGATCTCTCAAATTTACCCATTTGACAATAGCCAGTTATTATAGCACTCCACGAAGCCTCATTTGGTTCCGATATCCTCTCGAAAGCTCGACAAGCAGAATCAAAATGCGAGCATTTGACATATAGATCCACAACAGGAGTTCCCACGAAAACCTCGGATTCCAACCCGAGTTTAACAATATAACCATGAATTTGCCTCCCTAAGTTCAAATCCTCCAAACCAGCACACGCTTTCAGAGCAATTGAAAACACAAACTTGTCCACTTCAATACCTTCCTTCAACATTCTAACAAATAATACCAAAGCATATTTCTCTTTGCCAGCTTGAATATATCCCATCATCAATCCCGTCCAAGCCACGGCATTTCTTTCAACCATTTGATCAAAACGAGCTTAGCTCTCTAGCGCCCCGCATTTCACGTACATATTGGTGATTGCTGTGATAACAGAAACATTGGTGCTTAATCCAATTCTTATAACGAGAGAATGTAGCTGTTTCCCAATCTCCAAAACAGAAGGATCTAATAAATTCTTCAGAGGCTGGTAAAAATGGTAGAATGCGTTCAATTCCTAACTCAATCATTTGACAAAATAACCCAAAAGCTTTCTTTAAATGTCCCTTTTCTGTGTAAGCAAATAAGTATAACCCAAGATGCTAGATTTTTGTCAGGCATTTCATCAAAAGCTTCTCCGCGTCCCAAAAGCTCTCGCAGATACAGTACATTTGCAGGACATAGTTTCGAGAAACCTAGACGTATTCCCATCGTTGTTCGCAACGTTGGTGATCAATCTGCCATCCGAAATGATCTCATTGCTACAGGTTTCGTAAGGGATTTAGGAGTTGGGGTTGACGGGAACGCCAGCTTCGTCCATTTGTTGAGGAAGTCACGAGCTTCTTTGAGTTTCCCTTGTTTAGACAAAGAAACCAAGTGTACGTTCTCGACTTGGCCTTGCTGCAGTTGGTTCTAATCCTTTTACCCGCAATTTTCGGCTGAAAGAACACAACAAAATTTTATTGCGAGGAAGGTCAGAGAATGATTATGAGAATATTGTATTTGTGTTTAGTTGATTTAGTAGTAATGTAAGATTATCGTATTTGGTTAAAAGAATAAAAAAATATTAGAATTATTTGATTAAATTGTCCTTATTATATATTTATTTTTTTAACAAGTTGAAAAATATTTATATATTTTTTAAAAAATTTAAATTCATAAATTTATAATTTTTTTATAAAATTAAAAATATAAAGGTTTAATGAAATGGTAAAATTTTATTTTAACCCTTGAACTTCATATAAAATTTTAATTATAGATTTTTTTTTAAATCTAAAATAGTTAAAGGATAAATTTGTAATTGAACATTCATAAAAGTTTTATTATTCAATGATAAAAGAATGATATTTTTGAAAAAAAATTAAGGGTGTTTTGGATTAAAACGCCGGTAATCTAACAATACCTAAGGAAAGGGAGGTAATGACATTCCTGATAATATACCCCAAAAAATCCACTATTGGTAATCTTACATTACCGGGTATGAGATTACCGGGCTAACCAAACGATAGAATGTGGATTCCATTATCATGGGAATCTCACATTCCCAAATCCAAACGTTCTCTAAAAGTTTATATATATAAATAAAAACATTAGATAAACTATAAGTTTAATATTTAAATTATTATTTTTGTTCTTGTTTGACACCCAAAACTTATTTTTTTTTTCAAAATTATATCTAATGTTTAGTTTATGTTTTAATTTGATTTTTTCGTTAAAAAATTAACAGAATTAATGACATTATATTTTTTAATTTTTTTCAATGATGATGTAAAATTACGTGTTGGTGACACATACATTAATATTAAATTTTTAACAGTGAGATAACAAAATAAAATCTAAACTAAATATTAAATATAATTTTAAAAAATAAAATTTATATACTAAAATAAAAATAATAGTTTAAATACTAAACATGTAATATACTTATAAATTAATAAAGTGAACATTCTGTTCTTGTTCAAAATGTACTCGCACAGATTCACTCGGTCTATCTTTTCAGTAAGAGGACTAAAATCTAATATGATATATAATACAAGGATTGCTTTTGTACTTTTACCGTATTTTTCTTACAGCTTTCGTTAAGCAAAAAAGTATTGCTCACTTCATTGAACACAGTCGATCAGTCTTCAGTGAGCAGCGAGTTTCATATATCAACGTGGCCAGAGTTACAGCGGGATAATGGTAGAGTGGTTCTTTTTGACCAAACCGTGGGATAGTCATCTGCAAGTGGCCGACTCAATTACACTCCTCTCGGGTCCCCCTTCCTGGTAAAATGCTCGTCCGTGAAGTCAAGTCTGCTTGTAATTTTGTCGAACACATAGAAGGCTGTTTCTTTTGTTTTTCACTTAACAGCTTTACCCAATATCATATAAAATTGTGCAGTGGGAAGACCTCATTGCTATTTCAGTTCGCGATCAATTCAGTATCACGGTGCCGCTCTGGCAATTCTAAAGTGGTTTTCATATGTAGCCGGCGAAGGCTGGAAACCAAGCCCCCTTATCTTTCCCAGGCATATATTATATCTTCCTTTTGAACCTGCCTTTATGTTTTGTAATTCTGATTAAGGTTTTACGTTTTTTTATGGATTTTTGAAAATTTTCAGGGCATTGATCCAGATTCGGAAATATTTCAGCGAATAAAAATGAAGTGAGGGATCTTCCTTATAACGTATTAATTACATTAATCATTCACAATACATATAATCATATAGAATGTTCAGTATTAGCTACTTGTGTACTCAATATTTGAATTCTGGTGCTCTTAATTTCTTTGAAGATATATTGACGACGATGATGATGAGGGAATCAAGAAGTACTTTGCTGCATTTCACCTCAACGACACGTCTCCAGTTGCTGTTATCGTCGATGATTTCGGAGATTTCTTTGACGAAAGGTAACTTGAGTCCGAGCAGCCTATTTTTGAACATCATTGATTCAACGTTCATCCATTTTTTAATCAGCAATCGTAATCAGGAGCTGTCAAGAGAGACACGGTAATCCTCGTGGACGAGACTTGGCCTTGGTTAGGACTCTAGCTTTGTGTCACAATGCCATAATCCATGCAAAGTAGGTACATTCGAACCCGAATCAAATGTTTTACCATGTTGGGATTAATGGCAAAACACTGCCTACATACATGCAGCAAGAAAGGGCCTTGCAAGCTTGTATTATCCGATACACACCATGGGGACTCTCCAAGGTCTCTGTTTATCTACAAGAGGTGGATTCCCTCTATTTTTACGATCAAAGGTTGTGTTTTCAACTCCGAACCCACTTTACCTTTCATTTCGGATAGGCAATAATATATCATTCCTTGATGTCTCTATGATAAAGGTGATGGTTCGGGATCGTTTCATTTGAAGTATAACAACTATTGGGAAACGGTAGCACTAAGAGCACAAGAATAGCAAAGTACTCGATAGCGTTCCAGTATTTGTTTCTGGAGGGGATTACCGAGGAAGGTGAAGAGCAGTGAATTACTGAACTTCGACTCTTTGATCTTGTAGCTGAATGGTATGATGTTTATCGTGTTGGTTTCTTCCTCTTGAACTTGGTACCCTACTGCCCTGTCTATGCTCAAAGAAATCAAATTGATTTTATTGATAAATGTGATGTACGTTCAAGTTGTGCTTTAAGAATTCCTTAAAAGTGGTGGAAAATCCAAAATAATAAATTGAATCTGGAAAATGAGAAAACAACATGAAACTCTTCTGAATATGGAACAGTTCATACTCAGATTACAACTGAGACAGGTTTGGGAAAATACAAATGCCTATTGGACCAAATCAAATGATAAAAAAAGCTTGATATCCGGCTCAACTTTGGATATAATCGAAGATCCGAGTTCGGGAAAATTTTGCCACGTTGAAAATGGTGGCAACCTGTAAACTTGCGAGCTTGACAATAAACATTCCTCACTATCCTAACAACAAAGAAAAATATGATCTTGCATTTCACCATTGATCGTATGCATCTGCACAATTTATAAAGTGATGCGTATATACACCAACAGACATTGACAACAGCAACCAAAGAATAGCTTATTCCGCTCGGTGCTAAAATTATTCTCTTTTTTGTGCGACTCAGCTGCAATTTTGAAGACCAGATGAGAATGAACGAAACAAGGGTTGCTCCGACAGATAACCATAAAATTACCAACCATTTTGGCAGTGGCTTAGGATATAAACCTTATACGCGTGAAATGGAAAAATAGAAATGGTTAATACAATACACATACTAGAACGCAATTGGTATTACTGTTATCATTGGCGTATATGCAACTAAGACAATTCGAACCAAAATATCGGCATCGTGTTGGAGCATACCATGTCCAAACTTGATGCAAATGAGCAGCTCAATAATGCAAATTGCAAAGGAAAGCCAGCAAAATGATCCAACCTCCTTAACTGGTTTTCTGAGAAAAAATGACAAAGCATTAAAGGTGAAGTATAAAAATTCTTCAACGAGCTCTTAGGGTAGAAAACAAATGGAGAGAAAGAGAAAGTACCGGTCTTGGAGGTATGAGCTGTACTCACGAATTGTCGGTATTGCTATTAGCCACCACAAGATCAGTCTATACACAATCACATGGTTTCGAGGAGGAATCCAGAGACAAAGCTTTAGAAAGAAAGTATTAAGCTCTACTGTCAAGAAGACAATGCAAAGGCTGAGAACTTGAATGAAACGCCATGGATCAAGCAGGGGCTGCCATTCGTCTCTGTCCCACTGTGCTCGTGTGAATTGTAGTAATGTTTGTTTAACCTGGACAAAAGCAAAGAACAATAAGCATTGACAATTAAAAGGTGAAGCGAAGGTTACATTTACGAGCCAAGTGAATAATATGAGAATCGGGAAGTAAAAAGAAAACTATATTTGAAAGAAGGGCCCATATTTGCATTTCCAAGCAGACTTGAGTTTAAATATTGCAGTAGTTTTCACATTAATGGAGGGCAATCACACAACAAGAAAAATACTTTGCCGCTGATGTTAGGCTGGCGACTTATGCCAATCCACTCATAAGTTCTTCCGTCAAAGTATCCAACGGTATGCATTCCAGCCCAAATGCCTACAAGCAAATCAAATATGTTGTCAAAATAGACTGAAGAATCACTAAATCTTAAATTCATGTTAGCAGCAGAGACAACACACATGAGCTCACACCAATATAACTGATAATCGAAACGAGACATTTAAAAAAAATGCCATTCCAAATTAGATTGCATGTTACTTAAAAAGTTATTTAAGGGGTAACCATCAGTGAAGGTGACTGAGGACTATAATCGTAAGCGGCGCTAGAAAAAAGGATTCCACACCGACATTTGTGTAATGCTTATTTTTCAATTGCTTGTGCAATTATGGCATTGTCAGTTTTAATGATTCAGATGCAGACTCATGATATCTCCTAGATCACAGGAAAAGAAAAATAAACGAGAAAAAGACAGCAATACAGGATCTTACCGAACCAGTTACACAACAAATATCAAAAATGATGCTGTCCCACCAGCACGCATTGAAGTTGGACAGCATGTGTCGGAAGGTAAACTGTATATGCCAACACAGTCGTTAGATTACAGATGCAAAACAGACAGCAAGCATGTGAACTTACCAATAGCATGTCTATATGTGAAATTAGAACATGGAAAACGATAACCGTGTCTGATGAAAAAACTAACCTCCATCAACTCAAGTCCAATTGAGAGGACCCATAGAAGTTGCTGATTGCGGATTAATATGGCCTTGCCCCACCAACCAAAGATGTGGGCTAGAACAAATTGATCAAAGAGTGTTTCCTAAAAATATTTTTAAAATCAACATAAGAAAATTAAAAGTCCAAAATACAAAACTATGGTAATGTGCATCAAGAAACGAAGGCTAAAGCATACGATAAAATAGCTTGACCAGGTTATGCCAAAAGAACCATACATAAACATTCTTAAACCTGCTAGAGGGATTTTCAGGAGTATATATGCGACAATCAGCACCATAGGACCTTTCTGGAAGCTCTACATGAAGGAGCAAACAATAATCAGGAAAATGAAATAGAGAATAAATAATAGTAGAGAAGAACGACAAAAAGTCTTCTAGAGTCAAAAGTAGTACCAACACCAAGGTCCGGATGGAGAAACTTCATTAATTGCCTAGCATCATCACGCTTCTGGAAAACAGAATGTAGAGCAACTATCACTAATCCTTTATTCAACTTTGGATGACAGCATATGTACACGGACAAACATTCAAGAACATTATTGAGCTGCAATGTTTTATGCATACATGTACGTTCCATGTTTTTTTTCAAGGCTGCCTGCGAATAGAAAGAGAGAAACAGATGCAATTTGAATTTGATATTTGTGTGTAGTTCACCTAATTTACCTTTGGCAAAGGTGGACATCTTCTGATACTCTTAACTAATGACATGTTAAGAGTAGCAAAAGCTTTAAGTTGTAGAAGGGAAAAGATTTTGATGTTTATGCTCATAATTATGCGCTGCAATGCTTTCTATGCTCATCTAAAGTGGTGCGATATCAAATGTAAACTAACAAAAACTAGAAAAGCTGCAACAGATAAATGAATATATGCATATAAAGTATATAGAAAAAGTAAATAACATTTCCATGGACAAATAGTAAAAAAGCATAAGGAAATTAACCAGAAAAAGCAAAAATGTGAGTGCGACAAGGTAAACAACAGCCATCCCGTGAACTAAACACCAAACTGCAGGATGAGGCCGAACAAGGACCCTGCAAAGAAGTTTAAATTTTGATCACTTAGAGCAATAAATCTAGTAGCTGACCAACCATACTAATACAAAATGTCGGTTTTACTGATTAAAATAAATTACAGAAAGCAGATTAACACTAAAACCATCTGCAATTTTTTTTATTGAATCCTGTCGCTATCTTCTCCAGCCAGCATAGTCTAGTAGAATTGCCATGACATCATCAGAAACCAAGTTTTGTATAGGACATCAAAGGTAACTGCTTTAATGCAAGCCAAGATGATGAATATGCCCCATTTTAAACTTTAACTCCATATTTCTTCCTTAATTTAAAGCAACAGATAGATTTCCATAAACCAAGTGACTGACTGCAGAAATATAATATAGTCATATATACCCACTAGACACAGAAGCCAAGTTAAACAGACCAAGTTCTACAGAAGAAATCAAACTGATAACTTACGTAGGAGTCCGCAGCAAGCAATAAGCAAGAAAAACAGCAATCATTACCAATACACCCCTACAAGAACAGCACACACGAACCATTAAAATATATTAGCAAGTGAAAGACCAAAGACCGTAAACTACCAATAGAGACAAATAGAAACCTTTTTACAGATGTTACAAGATCGTCAGATCGGTGCTCTGAGGATCAAAGGTTCCACTTGCCCAACTGGAAAACGCATACAGACATAAATAAATGAAAATAGAAAAAAATACTAAGTTGAGATATGACTTTAAAGAAGGGTGAAAAAGAAAAAAATGAACTATAATTGAATAACATGATTGATAAGAACCGAGGTTCTATCAAAGGAAATATTGGAAAATTAACAAGAGAAACTAAAATTTGATCACTTCCAGGGGATCAAATCCAAAAAGTTGTCAAAAGGTTTCTTTGGTTATATTTTATTCCTTGGTGACCAAGAATTATGGTTCTCAATCAAAGAAATAGAAAACATTAAAGGAAATTAAAAATTATAATATAAATTCATAAGATTAAAGAATCGATTATTTAAAATAGTAAATTCCTAAAATCAAGGATCCTATCAATGAGTTTGATGATTAAATTCAAAACATGTACCTTGGCTGGCATGATATATTCCTATAATTTACAATGCATTATAATTTAAAAGCAAAGATATAAACTCTAGGTATATAAAAAAAATTCTATGAGCAAGGAAAGATGAGTGGCCAAACATATAAAGATGCATGCAAAATCTAATAAGGGAAAACGCATAATTCAATGTTAAATATCAACTAGATATATAAAGCATACACTCACATAAGAAAGCATGCACCAATAAATAATAATGAAATGGTACGAGGATTGTACGCCCATGCAGTCCATGGATTTAGTTCATCGATGAAACATAATAAACCATCATCTCCATTTTCTTGAATAAGGTGATCCCTTCTCCTCACTCTAGTATGACCATTAGGTTCCATAGGCCTTGGTGTTTCAGAAAATACAACTTGCCCACTGCACAACAACATCAGAAGTAAGATTCTAGGAATGTTCAATAGTTGAGAATACTAACAATGACAATCTTACCATTAAATGAGAAAAAATTGTATCTCGATAAATTACTGTACATACAAAAGAGCAGCACCAGAGACAAAAGTATTGAACCTAAAGGAGGGGACCATTAACATATATGATTGTGGCATCATATAAATTCATTCACTACACAACATTAAATTAGTAACTTTGCAGTACTTAAATAACAATTGCTACAACTGGAGTTCATTGGTTATGCACCAATTTACAAGAATTACGCACC